CGAGTCATGCATTATTATCACTTGTTGAAAAGGTAGCTCATGCTCTCGACTCCTCTTATCATATGGTTGGAATACTCCTGGACTACTCCAAGGCCTTCGACACGATCAACCACGATATTTTGCTTCATAAACTTTCTCATTATGGTATACGTGGGAAGGCCTTGGAGTGGTTCAGGAGTTACCTTTCCGATAGGAAACAGTTTGTATTTCTGGATGGTCACACTTCTGAATTACGAAATATTAATTGTGGGGTTCCTCAAGGTAGTTTGCTGGCCCGCTTTTGTTTATTATTTATATTAATGATTTTTATAGATCATCAGATATGGCGTCTTTTATATCATTTGCTGATGATACAAATTTGTTCTTTTCACATACAAATCCAAATACTCTTGTTGAAATTGTAAATTTTGAATTAGAAAAAATTATTCAATGGATCCGAGCTAATAGGCTGTCTTTAAATTTACAAAAGACTAAATATATTCTTTTTAGTAATTCAATAGATTCTTTGCCAACTGATTTAGTTTTTGATGACACTCATTTGGAAAAGGTTACACATTCTAAATTTCTAGGTGTATAATTGATAATAAGCTTTCATGGAAAGTTCATGTCGATAACATTTCTAAAAAAATTTCGAGAAATATTGGTATATTAAATAGACTTAAAACACAACTCCCATCTTCAGCATTATTAACATTATATTCATCCTTAACATTACCTTATCTGAATTATGGCTTACTCGCATGGGGTAACGCTCATCAGAACATTTTAGACAAACTTTTATTGTTACAGAAGAGAGCAGTTAGAATTATTTCCCAGGCAGATTTTCGTGCACACACTAATCCGTTGTTTTATGATAATAATATTTTGAAAGTAAAAGATTTGTATTTGCTTCAATTAGGTCAATTTATGTATAAAAATACTAATGATTTGCTGCCAAAAATTTTTAAGACTATGTTTTTAAAAAATCGCTCTTTTCATCAACATTCAACTAGACAATCGGAAGAGTACCATTTGCCATTACTTCGAACTTCCTTCGCTAAAAACACTTTTATCTATGATGGCCCAAATTTGTGGAATTCCTTTACTGATTCATTGAAAATGCCCCTTCATTATATACATTTAAGAAAAGATTAAAAATATTTTTGTTCTTAAAATATAAAGTAAATTAGTTTGATTTACCCCCCCCCCCCTGACACCCACACACACACACTAATACTTACACATTATACACGATGCATCATTGTCTTGGTCATTTTGAGGAGAATACGCGCATACTTTCCCCTTATTTTCTCTTTAATAATTATATGCGCAGTTATCGATTTATACGGTCTTACTTTTTACTGATAATCTGATTTGTATTGACAATAGTATACGGAATGTAGAATAACTGATTTGTTGTTTTGGAAATGTTATGTCCACGTCTGTGCAGTATATTCGTTTTTTTTTGTTTTTTTTTTTTTTTTTGTTATTGAATGTCTTTCTCTGTCTTACATTGTCTCTACTTGTTACTGTTCTGTCTTCGCGGGCTTGTCATTGTCTTTACTTTATTTTTTTTATTTTTTTATTTTAAAAACAAAGAGCAAACTTTTATATTAATATATTTGTGTTTTTTTGTTCTGTATAAGCTAATTTGTGTAATGCTACTTTGTTATTTTGAGGGACCCATAATCTACAAGTATCCACTTTTTAATGGGTCCCTCCATTTCCATAGAAAATATCAATTTTTTTTGTATTATGTTATTCAAATTTTGTTTATATGCAGTTTAAGTATTTGTAAATGATATTATTCACATGTTATCTTGTTCAATTTTTTGTTTTGTTTTAATGAAATATTGTTCTGATTTCTGTGGAAATGGAAATAAACTTGAATTGAATTGAATTGAATGGCATGTAAGGACATTCATTGTGGGGAAACTAACCTATTAAAAAAATATATATTTTCCTCCAAAATGCTGAGCCACCCCGGACCTTCTAATTTCGGCCCGAAAGTTGTGATAATTCAAATTTTTACAATATTTGCCCCTACGCCCCTTTCAAAGGGATATGGGGGTCAGGATCCATCTAATGGCATTTATGTACATTCATTGTGGGGAAACTAGCCTAATCAAAAATATAATATTTTCCTCCAAAATGCTGAACCACCCCGGCCCTTACCATTTCGGCCTGAAATTGGTGTTTATTCAAATTATCACAATATTTGCCCCTACGCCCCTTTCAAAGGGATATGGGGGTCAGGATCCATCTAATGGCATGTATGTACATACATTGTGGGGAACTAGCCTAATCAAAAAATATAATTTTTTCCTTCAAAATGCTGAACCACCCCGGCCCTTACTATTTCGGCCCGAAAGTTGTGATAATTAAAATTTTTACAATATTTGCCACCTTTCAAAGGGATATGGGTCAGGATCCATCTAATGGCATGTATGTACATTCATTGTGGGGAAACTAGCCTATTAAAAAAAAAAAATATTTTCCCCAAAAATGCTGAACCACCCCGGCCCTTACAATTTCGGCACGAAAGTTGTGATAATTCAAATTTTTACAATATTTGCCCCTTCGCCCCTTTCAAAGGGATATGGGGGTCAGGATCCATCTAATGGCATACTGTATGTACATTGATTGTGGGGAAACTAGCCTATTAAAAAAAATATATATTTTCCTCCAAAATGCTGAACCACCCCAGCCCTTACAATTTCGGCACGAAAGTTGTGATAATTCAAATTTTTACAATATTTGCCCCTACGCCCCTTTCAAAGGGATATGGGGGTCAGGATCCATCTAATGGCATGTATGGACATTCATTGTGGGGAAACTAACCTATTAAAAAAACTAGATGGAATTTTGACTGCGCGCAGTCGAAAATGATGCCTCCTCCATAGAGCAATTTAAACAAGTTTGGAGTTTAAATCTCCAGTGGTTCTTGAGATATCATGATAACAATCTCAATGTATGGAATTTCATAAGTTGACCTCTGTGACCCTTGACCTTTGACCTACGTGCTCCAAAATCTAATCAGATTGTCTTCCTATGGTGATACACACTATCATTAAGTTTGAAGTTTAAATCTATAGTGGTTCTTGAGATATTATGATATGGTGATACATATTATCATTAAGTTTGAAGTGAAAATTCTCCAGTGGTTCTTGAGATATCGCGATAACGATCTCAATGTATGGAATTTCATAAGTTGACCTCTGTGACCCTTGACCTTTGACCTACGTGCTCCAAAATCTACTCAGATTGTCTTCCTATGGTGATACACACTATCATTAAGTTTGAAGTTTAAATCTCCAGTGGTTCTTGAGATATTATGATAACAATCTCAATGTATGGAATTTCATAAGTTGAACTCTGTGACCCTTGACCTTTGACCTACGTGCTCCAAAATCTAATCAGATCGTCTTCCTATGGTGATACATACTATCCTTAAGTTTGAAGTTTTTACATCTCCAGTGGTTCTTGAGATATCATGATAACAATCTCAATGTATGGAATTTCATAAGTTGACCTCTATGACACTTGACCTTTGACCTACGTGCTCCAAAATGTAATCAGATTGTTTTCCTATAGTGATACACACTATCACTTAGTTTGAAGTTTAAATCTCCAGTGGTTCTTGAGATATCATGATAACAATCTCAATGTATGGAATTTCATAAGTTGACCTCTGTGACCCTTGACCTTTGACATACGTGCTCCAAAATCTAATCAGATCGTCTTCCTATGGTGATACATACTATCCTTAAGTTTGAAGTTTAAATCTCAAATGGTTCTTGAGATATCGCGCTAACAAACTCAATACAAGGAATTTCATAAGTTGACCTCTGTGACCTGTGACCTGTGACCTTTGACCTACGTACTCCAAAATCTAATCAGATCGTCTTCCTATGGTGATAAATACTATTCCTGAGTCTTAAGTTTAAATCTTAAATGGTTCTTGAGATATTGTGATAACGGTCAAACGGGACGGACGTACGGACGGACGTACGGACGTACGGACGGACAACCCGAAAACATGATGCCTCCGGCACCACCTTCGGTGGCGGAGGCATAAAAAGCAAGGTTCGGGTCCTTTCCTATGGGGCCTAGCCTGGACTAGACTTCACTGTCAGACACTATTGAGTGACTGACTGGCTTTTTTCTTCTTTGGTAATAACATACACGAAAAGAGTTGTAAAGGGTACATGAGCATTTGTCTACATCAATAACCCACTTCTTGTGATGGCCAAGATTAAACTGATTGAATCTTTGTGCAGCATAAAACGTATGACCATTCAGTACAATTGTCTGAAAATCAAGACTATTACTTTTGGGCTCTATAGCCCTAAAGTCGAATTGACAACTAATAGTCGTTATTTTCCCACTTGAAGACATTTTCAAGCCCCACCTTTTTTAGGGAAGTTCTAAATTAGTATTATCTTTCAAATGCAGTTGGAATTTAACTTTTTCATTTTTTTGGCCTGCAAATGGGACATAGTACCTTTAAACATTAATTTTCACTACATATATTATTTAGACCATTTGAGATAATAATACAGCCAAACAAATTGGAAGATCCAGGTTATTCCTTATGTTATCTATTGTTTTGATAATTTCTTATGTATTTCTCTGTTTTTTTTACTTATGTATTTTATTGTTTTATTTCATTTCCAACTACAATTCAACTATTTTGACCCCAAAATAAACACCCAAACTATAAACAAGACCAAATAACCAATGTTTTATCTCTTTATTTGAAAAATGAGATTTTCATATGTTTTGTACACAAATCACAAAAATTAGCGATTTTCGGGCTGACATGTAAAGACAAAAGGACACGTGACATTGTAATGGTATGTCTGATTTTCAAAAAATTTCTTTAAAAAGATGCGCAAGACTCAAAAGAAAAAAGTCACAAAATTTCAGTGCAAGATTGTCTTGCGTTAAAAAATTATCGCGAAAAATGTCAAGGGGGGGGGGCTTCTAAAGCCCCCCCCCCCCCCCCCCCCCCCCGGGCTAGATAGGGTTAAGACTGGACATTATCTTTCTTTTTCATACTGTAAGGGCCTTCTTTTGTGATGAGTTAATATCATTTTAGAGCTGGGAATCTCCTCTTTTAGAATGAAACCTAAAGTGAGAGAAAATCAAATCTTAAGCATTAGTTAAAAGTAGGTTGCATACTCACAACAAAGGAGACAAAGAGGGCGAACGCTGAAATGAAATGCCAGGTGTCATGCTCATCATAGAAGCCCATGATAATACAGTTAGTGTTTAGTTCCCGGGATTGAGCTGCCGAGACCTGCAAGATCAGAGGGGGAAACAAAAGCATGACTAGCAACCATACTTGACTAGTAGCATGGTGTTTATATAGAATTGAATGTACAGTGAAACCCGTCTAAAAAAAACCACCCAAGGGAGACAAGAAAGGTGGTCTTTATAGGCAGGTGGTCTTTATGATCAGGCTCCTTTAGTACATGTGTCAATGAGAATGTTTTTTTCAAGGGAAACTAAAAATGTGGTCTTTGTAGACAGGTGGTCACCGAAGCAGGTTTGACTGTACATGCATGAGCTATAGTATAGTTCTCATCTGCAGCTTTCTCGTCTTTGGAACTCCCTGATACCTTCTGAATCGTTTAACAGACTTAAATACCTTTAAATCACAATATTGAAATCTTACTTGCTCTAAAATGTTTTCGGATGTCATCTAAACTGCCTTAAAGATAAACTCCAGTACTGGTAAAAAAAAAAAAAAATTCTCACAGAATCAAACGAAACTTACACTGAATGTTCAAGATTACAAATAAATGACATGTGCCAAACAATTTTGGAAGAAAATGTATACTGGCTGAGTAATGAGCATAGAAAGACAAGGAAATCAAGGTAGTACTAGCCCGGACACCATATGTGTTGTCCCATATATAGCTTTCTATGTGAGTGCTTGTTACTTTACCAAGACTCGGTCAAATTTATTATGATTTTGATGACTCCAGAACCTTGCAGTGCACACCAATACTTACATGCTACATGATCAACTGTTTCTGATCCTTTCCACACCTTTTCTTTCACAATGCAATCGCATTACCAGTACTAAAGTTTATCTTTAATTATTGAATTTCATCATAATTTAAACTACATTGCTGTACTTTGTCATAGTTTGCTTTCATTTCTCTATCATTGATATGATTAATCTTGTTCTTAATTTGATATTTCTTTAGTTCATGAATTAGTAGTTATCTGTAGTTTTGACTGAAGATGAAGTGCGCTATAGAAGCCTAGGTTGTTGTTGTTGTTGTTGTTGTTGTTGTTGTTGTTGTTGTTATTATTATTATTGTTATTATTATCAGATGCTGGCAACTCCATACTGATCTAAAGGCTACTTCTAGAATGCAATCACCAGCAATCCTGCCCAATAACCCAAATTGAACTTGAGACTCAAAACTATACCCAATCTTCACCCTACCCCTAGAACAACAATTACACTTAACCCACTCTCAACCCTAACCCTAACCCTACATCTCGATGAAAGCGCGATTTTCCCCAAAGATATCTCTGAATGCAAATCAGTTAATTCTTTCCAAAAGAAGTTGAAGCAGTTTCTTTACCTCAAATATGTATAGTTATTCATCTTCGTTTATATTTGTCATGTATGTTGAAAAAAAAAAATTATTCATGTTTTTTTTGTGGTTTGTTTTTGTTGTTTGTTTGTTATCTTTGCTTACATTATGCTATGAATGCTTTGCGAACTATGCTTGTACAAGGCCTAAGGGCTTTATTCATGTAGTTCCCCATTTCATTTTCAAAATTTGTTCATGAATTATTATTATTTTTTTTTTTTTTTCCTTATTTTGGACCCTCCAACAGGCCATTTATTGAAAATCAATCTCAAGATAACATATTTGAACACATGTTCCAATGAATATCATACAATATTTCATAATAAGATAAACATAACGAATATCAACGATAATACTGTATATACAGAACACACATGTAGATAAGGGAAAGAAAAACAAAATTAAATAATAATGCAACATCATGACTGAAAATGATGTGGGAAATTCAATATACTCCTATTAAAGGATCAAAATCCTCTCATAATTTATCCATTTTTTATCGAATTTGTCAGTTTTGTTAGCAAATATACTAACTTGCCTCTCATTTGTGTAACTATTCTTGATATATTGTTTTGCATCTTTTGTATCAATGTCATTTTTGACCGAGAATGAAATAAATGACAGCAGTTGAATTGAATTGAATTTGGATTCAAGAAAATGTTGGACCTCCGATCTTACCTGCCAACCGGTGATCTTGATCCGGAAGAAGTAAAGAGCGGCTGCCCACAGGAAGAGTGTCAGTGTTATGAGTAAAATAACCACCAGGAGAATCTTCTCTCGACAAATAAGCTGTAAAAAAAAAAACAGTTCATAATTAAAAGCCTTGCATTAATTTTTTCAGTGCAGTTTATCCACAAATCCAAGTTTGTTGAAAGTAAATGGTTTAGCTACATAATACAGGATTGTACATGTTCTGTATGTACAAATATCTGGTTCAATTTACAAAATGCTTTGAAAGCACAGAGAGATATGATTTCATGATTTGATATGCCCCATACACAAAAGGAATATTATCAATATTATTAGATTTCTTTGATCCTTAATGTATGTGAAGGAAACCAGAGAGAGAGAGAGAGAGAGAGAGAGAGGGGGGGGGGAGAGATTAAAATGAATATACGGTGAAAGAGTGAGAGGAAGACAGATATAACGAAATGAGGACAGTGAGAAAAAGGATATGAGGGGAGAGAGAGAGAGAGAAAGAGAGAGAGAGAGAAAGAAAGAGAGATAGAGAAGGAGATTAAAATCAAGATATAGTGAGAGATTGAGAGTGAGACAGATACAACATGAGAGGGAGAAAGGAAGAAAGAGAAAGAGAGAGAGAGAGAGGGAGATGGGAGTTACAGTGATAACAGAGGATGGGAGAGAGAGAGAGATACACAAACAAAGGTAAAGAAAAATACAGATACATAGGCAGAGAAGGAAAAGTAGATAAAGTTCGATAGAGAATGTAAGAAAAAGGGATGAGAGAATGAAAGGAGAAACCGTTGTAAAACTTTTCACAAATACTCACCTTCATAATAAAGTAGAATGATAAGTATAACAGCATGTTTACTATCATAATAGCCAGGAGGTAGGACGCAAAGTCTGAAGGTGTTGTGACAAGGCCTATAATGCTCCTGTAAACATATGGAGAAAAAAATTATTATTATTATTATTATTATTTATTCGGCATTTCAAAATACAAGAACAATACAGAGTAATATGCAAATTACAGCAATTACAGGAACATATATATATACATGATAAAGAAAGGACCTGAATCAGAGATGATAGGGCTGCCTGGGTTTGGAAAAGGTTAACTAAATTACCATGACCCACAGGTCTTCCTTCCCACACCCCTTCAACTCCATCCAGGTCAGGATAAGAAAATCCAAAGAAAACATATTATATAAATTAACAGTGTATAACTGGAAACTGGCAACACACTTGGTGTAATAAATTTAACATGAATGTCTCAAGCAATATAACATTCCAACTGATCATTTAAACATGTATAATAATTCAAATATATGGTTGAATTATAAACAGATTGACAAAACTTACCAATAATTATTAAGTTATTTAACCATGTCAAATTGAATGTGTCTTCAATATAAAGTATGTGATCTTCAGGAACATTCATCATCATCATCATCATCATCATCATCATCATCATCATCATCACCATCCTCCTTCTTCTCTTCTCCTCCTCTCATCCACCTTCTACCCCTCTCTCTCTATCTCTCTCTCTCTCTCTCTCTTTCTTTCCTCTTTGTTCCTTCTCCTTTTCCTTCTCCTTCTCTTTCTTCTTCTCCTTCTGCTTCTTATCACTAATAATTTTGATAATTATTTGAATTAAGTCAGCAATGGTCAAATCTGGATTACAGCAACCATAAAAGTATGAAAACAATCAAACTTACAGTGCCAAATTGACTATGATTCCAACAGTCAGAAGAGCTATCCTGGTCTGAAAATAAAAATATAAAATAAGTACATATAATTTGATTGACATCAGGAAAAAGATAAACTCATTATCATCATGCTAGAATTTCTAACACACACAATGTTCTTCATTAAAAAATACAGTCATCAAAAATTGAAATCAAGCTGTTGTGTGAAATGAGCACCATCTCCAGTACTTTCAAACATATAACCCATCCATTAATTAAACTGTTTAATGTGATCCCACTTTGTTTAAAACAAAAATAAATTATACAAAGGCAAGGCCCTAGGTTTTTTAATATGCATTTTGCAATTCAACAAGAGAAAATTAGGACAATATACATGGATACTTTTAATACTGCTATAAATATGTAAGACAGTCATTTAATAAAATATTTGTCCTTTAACATCCTGACAAGAAGAATTCTTAGGGGAGTTTGAATCAAAGTCAAGTGCTCTAGCTCAGTCTTCAAGTGAATCACTTGACTAAATTTAACAAACATGTTCCGGCCGTGACTAAGTAGACTACTCAACTAACCGCCAGAGTTGGACTTATTAAAGTGTGTCAAGGGAATGGGGGGGGGGGGGGGGGGGGAGAGAGAATGAAAAGGAATGTGAAAGATGAAGATGGAGTGGGATGGAATAAGAGAGGAGAAGAGGAGGAGGATAGGAGGAGGAGGAGGGGGAGGGGGAGAAGGAGGAGGAGGAGGAGGAGGAGGAGGAGGAGGAGGAGGAGGGGGAAGGGGAGGAGGAGCGGAGGAGGAGGAGGAGGAGGGGGGAGGAGGAGAAGAGGAGGAGGAGGGGGAAGGGGAGGAGGAGGGGAGGAGGAGGAGGAGGAGGGGGGAGGAGGAGGGCGAGGGCGAGGGAGGAAGAGGGGAGGAGGAGGGGGAGGTGAAGGATGATGAGGAAGAAGAGGAGGAGGAAGAGGAGAAAGAGAAGGAAGAGGAGAAAAGCAGGAAGAGGAGAAAGAGGAGGAAGAGGAGGGAAAAGAGGGAAAAGAGGAGGAGAAAGAGGAGAAAGAGGAGGAAAATGAGGACGAGAAAAAAGAGAAGGAAAGGAGGAGGAAGAGGAGGAAGAATTAGAGGAAGAGGAAAAGGAGGAAGAGGAGTAGAGGACATAATGAGACATGATTGGGAGAAATAATGCATTAGAGAAGAATGGATTGATAAAGAGGGGGAAAGAGAAAGAGAAAAGAGGGGAAGAGGGGAAGAGAATTAGGGAGGGAGGGGGAGGGGAGGGGAGGGGGAGGGGGAGAGAGAAAGAGAGTGTGAAGGCGATTGAGAAACTTTTTAATAAGAGGGGGGATAAACAGAAGAAGAAAGTGAAGGGAGGGGGAAGGATGGGGCTGATAATTTGAAAGGGACTCAAGTTGGTATATACCCTTCCACACTTGTACACTTTCATATCTATAGACTAAACTTCAGGAAAAATAATTTTTTGAGATATACATGAATTTAACAATCCTTTTCTTTTTGAGATGTGCTTTGACAAGCAACAACAACAACAAAAATATGGAGTGGGAGGTATGAAGGGGCACCAGGCGTTTGGGGAGGGCAGGGTGTTCAGGGTGAAATAAAAAATTGTGATGTCTCGGGATGTCTTGGATCATATGTCCCCCCAGGGCAGCTTAAAAAGGTAAATATCATCAAGATTAAGAGAATCCCTCCCAAAGGCCTTTCTCGCCAATGACATATTGGACGAGACCGGATATACACTCCATTGGTGCATGTGTCACCAGGAGCCTGGGGTTTAGTTATTCTTGTTCCATTTCGTCTCTCTGTCTCATACTCTCTTTGTTTCCCTATATTTTCTATTTATTGAACTCCTTTCCTCTCTCCCTGAAACAATATTGAACATCAGTTAGAATTCATTTTTACTTTTCTATCTCTCTCTCCCTCTCTCTCTCTGCTTCTGTCTATTCTGTCTGTTTCTGTCCCCCCCCCCCCCCCCCCCCCCCCCCTCCTCCCCCTCTAACAACCTCCAAATCTGTATCTTGGGTCCAGCTTTCTCTGGATTTCAAACTTTTTAATCAACAATTTTATGTCTCTCGCTATCTGTCTGTTTGTCTGTTTGTCTGTCTCCCACTCTACATTGTGTATTTGTCCGTCTACTCCTACCCCTCCCACCTCTATAAATCAAGTTAGGCTCTGATTGTTTATATTTCTCTTTGAGTTTGTGTGGGTGGGTGTGTGTGTGTGTGGGTGTTTGTGGGTGTGTGTTTCTGTCAGTCTGTCTGCGTGTGTCTCCCTCTCTTTATCTGTCACACTCGATATGTTTCAATATGTATGAGTTCCCCCTTCTCTAGCTCCATCTGTATCTGTCTATTGCCGTTTTTCTAGTATATTCAGTGAATATATACTTCAGAAGAAATATACATTATACATACCGGATGGGTTGGCCTTGCACAGGTGAATATATCTGACTTGCAAACAAGGAATGTCCTCTTGATAACACCACCATCTGTAGATTAAATGAAATTAAGAGAGGGGAAGGCCAAAGGGGAAGGGAAAATGTTATTTGTAGTTTAAAATATGACAACGTACCCAATGTTTCAGTGGGCATAAGATGAAGAAAAAAAAATTGATATGACCAAAAGTTGATGATTATTACATTTATAAAATATCATTTAAATTAAACACCTCAAAAAGAGAGGGGGAAATGCAGCAAAGGAAAGTACAATGACATGACCAGACGAGTACCATTAAAAACTCAACAATGTCCATTTCAGCCAATGCAACAGATGGGCGCAACGGGCAACAGCACATCCTCAAACACCAGAGGCAACATTAAAACAACTTTGAGAATATCCCCCATATCCTCTTACCACATTGCTACTCCACACAAATTACAGGAAACTATTCATCTTGAGATATCATCTAACACTCGAGGCGAAAACGTCTGACTGAATCACGTTGGGAACATCAAAGTATTTTTGCATAATCACTGATTGAACCCAGTTAACCCAATCATTTTTTCTGGCACGGTTGAACACTCGTTTATTATCTGAAGGGCATCTACTGTTTAGTCGGCTAAAATTAATCCACGGGAATCCTGATGACTGTTAAACGTTCACGCTTCCATTGCTTTCTGTAGGATGTTGACCTTTTACATAAATCTGAGGAAAAATTGAAGCAAGGAATTAGAAAGTCATGTTTGTTTGTAGTTGTACTTTTATGAATTAAATCACAGCACTGCCACTGGCACAGCACATGAGCTCTATTCTTTTTTGGGGGACCGTTTAACTGCAACTAATGGTCAAGAGTGACAAATATAGATCAATGTTTTAACAAACTTTATTTAGTGCCACTGCCTGGGGCTTGGACCGTGGTCCATCTAATGCTTGACGGTCCAGTGACTCGTCCACTATACCAGAACACAGAGTCTATGGATATATGAAGCAAAATGAATGATGAACAAGGAGAAGAATCAATTCCAAAAATAAAGAAAACCTGGAAAATCTTCAAAGATGGAAGCCAGTCATACATTTACTTACTGACTTGGCTTTTCATGCTCATCACTTCCGCATCCCACAAAAAATTCACTCAAGGCCGCGCTTTGGGAAAGGACTGTCACAAAAGTTACTGTTAACTTAACAAAAACGGCGGAAATCTACCCTTTCCTGCTCTCCCTAAAGTCATCCTTACGATTTCACCGCCCCTCAGTCTTGACACATTGTGTCATCGCTGACATTAATGTTGGATACTTGCTACCTGTTTTCGGAGAAGGAGATAGCGGGCGAGTCGAGAAATTAGTTCCGGGGGCATTCCGTGGAACCGGTCCAAGGGATGGTGAGGCGTCTTGTATAATTCACAAGGTCCTGGTTTCATTAAAAGGTCTTGTCTGTTGCCCTTTTGTAGTCAGGGACTTCTTTGCGGTTGAGTCACAATGCGTGGGCTCTTCCCAATGTGACACAATTCTAGTTACATGCTTGTTTTGGGAATTGAGGCAGACATTAGCGTGGGCAGTAATTCACTGGTTTCTTAACTCAATGGCTTAAAAGTAAGTGTGGAACACAATACCAGAAAAGAAATGCATATCTCTAAACATATGTTTTTAGTTTAAACAAAGGCTGTGGATGTTACAAAAGAAAATACGCAGGAATAGAAAAAGAGGATAGGAACTGAACACTCGGCAGATTTTAGGGCTAGAAATATTTTTTTTAAAAGGAAACAAGCTATTTACGGTTATTATGGATTATTACGAGTTATTACGATGTATTTACAGCAAAATTCCCCTATTAATTACGAGTTGTCACAGATAACTACCAGCAACTTACAGGCATTTTACCATCTTTTTACAGATTTTTACAGAGTATATTACAGAATGTTACTACTCATCAAAGCTTTTACGTGCAAGTTACAACCTGTTTACGAGTTATTTAAGAGTATTTACAAGCCCTTACAATTTTGTTTACTTCTATGACTTCTTTATAACAACTGAGAATGAAGTGTGTGTGTGTGTATTTGGGTTTATACTGATGTGTGTCAATCAGCTATGATTATTTACGTCGGGGGACAGACTTTTAACGTCACCATCCGAAAGACGTGACTCAGTTTCGAACCTGTGTCCTCGGCTGAATCAGTTTGTAACTTCCATTGTTAGCTGGATTACAGGCGTACGCCACAACACCTAGTTATAAATGAAAATGAAGTGTTCGATTCTGCAGCACTTATACCTTTCCCCAAATCATAAAACATGTAAGAATACATAAAGTATATGCATCTATTCGTAAAGTACTTGTAACTACACATAAAGTGCTTTTAATAACTCGTAACAATTTGTGAAACCATCGTAATAGACCCAAATGATTTTGTAAACAACACGTAAGCACTCGTAATAATTTGTAAACAAATCATTACAAAATTTGTTACGAGTCATTTACTGATTCTTGCAAGCAGTTTACGGAAAATCAATCCGTGGACAATCCTAAGAAGATTTTTGACATGTCAACAAATTTGACTCTCCATTCACGGGTCCTTAAGAGTGTCAGCGAGTTGTTGCGGGTTGTGAAGAGTCATGTACGGATGCTTGCGATTGACTACCAGTGGGCGATTCCGTAAGGACTCGTAAGAGAAGTATCTGTGTATGTGAAGGGGGTATCAGGTGTTATGAAAAACATTTTCAAACGCTTTTGGGACAGGATGGATGAGATAGGAACAGGAAGATGGAGCTGTCATCCTAACAGCTCATTCTCAGAGTGACATATCATGCAAGGTTACCAAGATACAATCATCTAAGAGGGTACTATGTTACTTCCTGCTAAAAAAAGGGGCACCCCAATAAACACAGATATCAAGTACATTTCGTTTTGCACAATATGTGAATTTTGTTGTTGTTGTTGTTGTTATTTTATTTAAAGAAATCCACGTCCAGAGGTGGTTTATTTCGTTTTTTTCGTTTGCCGGTAGTTTCTTTGCGGTTTAAATGCAGCTCATTAAAGCATGACCTAAGGAAAAGTTAACTTCTGCATGATTTTTGCAAGGAAATAGTACAAAAGGATTGTGCACGCCAATAAATTATAAGAAACACATAATTAGAAAGCAACATACATTAAACAAAGCCCTAAAGAGAGTTTGGGATTGCCAAACCAATTCAACCATGCAGAGTCTCAACTTCAAAGAACATTATTCAAGAAAAGCATAACATATTAAGCAAAAGACTAGAAAATAAAAATTTAAAGGTTGAGGTTTTTCTTTCTGTGTGTACTCGAACATATAGGCATTATCTCTCTTGAAGATTTTTACCACTGCATTCCAAACCATCGTAACCAATGCCTAAATTAAGGAGGAATTATTCAACCAAGAAAACCTCTATTTAAATGTGACTTTAAGAAATAACAAAGGTCTGTGCATGCCAAATCGAAAGCCACAGAAACTAAGTTTAGAAGATATCAAGTATTTGATTGTAGCCCGTGAAGACCAGAGGGAATTTATACTAAACTGCGTATAAAGAATCATCGTATAACAAACAAGGTGTTTACACCGGACATTAATACTGTACAAAGAAACTTGTTTTGAAGAGGGCATTTGACATGACAGCTTGCATTCAATAATACGCCCTGCCCAGCTAAGTTTTTGTATAATATCATACAAATAAAATAATTTTTTTTGTATAATATGGCTTTCAGAAGACAGAAGGGCACTACTCCTTAGCAAGTTTTTGTTCAAAGCAATGCTCAAACATAGAGGGGAGTGAATTGTTCACACTTCAAGAGCTAAAGGTTGCTAAAACCTGCTAACTTAGGAGAACAAGAATCAAGAGACGAACAAAACTACCGGAAGACCGGAACAGGAAATTGGGAAGGTGACACCCGGAAGTTACTGTTTCGCATAATTGGAACGAGTAATAATTATCTCTCTTTAAGGTTTGTTGTTGATCCCCTGTGGTAGGTTGCCAAAACATTGAATCATCAATGTGCTATTTTCACTCCACATCTTCATCTATTGCAGGTAGATTACCCTTGTAATGCTAAGCAACGAATATAACAAATTGTAAACTTGTTATAAATATTAACTACGCAGCAGCATGCCACCTGCTGCAAGAACAGTTAGAAGCCATGCAGACAGAAAATTAGAGTCTGTTAAAGAGAAGGTTGAGTTCTGGGAAGAGGTGAAAAATAATGTTAGCGTTATCATTGTTATTATGCAAATCTGGAAGAACATCGGATTAGAGAACACATGGCTCTTCAAATACTTTCATATTCTAAATATGGCTTGTAACAATTCAAATCGGGACAAATATTTATGCACATGTTCGTGTAGCCTCATATTTATCTTTCTGTGTACAGTGCTTGTAACTTTACCAAAACTGGGCCAAATTTCTTATCATTTTGATGATTCCATAACCTTGCCGTACACACCAATACTTATATGCTAGATGATCAACCTTTTCTGATCAATTAAAAGTAAGGCATAATTACTTCCTATAAAAAACACTTCAATAAATCTGTCAACTCATCTAGTCTATCAGCAGATTACCTGAAGTGTAGGTGAAATTATTTGATTTGGCACGTACACCAAATCAGAGGCCTAGTTAATTAGTACTTGTCTGTTAATTATCTTCACCTGAAGGAATCTTAACCTTGGCAGAGAAGTACCCCAAGATGATGTTCCTCCCGGCCAACAAGTGTGATGTACATTTGGAGGCCTACGTACATGAGATGCTTTACTGATAGGTTTTAAAAGAAGGAAGGAAAGTCTTCTGCTTTCTCTTCTCCTCCTCCTACTCCGTCTTCTTTGTCTCCTCTCTTCCTTCTTTGTCTCCTCTCTTCCTTCTTCTTCTTCTTCTTCTTCTTCTTCTTCTTCTTCTTCTTCTTCCCCCCTCCTCCTCCTCCTCCTCCTCCTCCTCCTCCTCCTCCTCCTCCTCCTCCTCCTCCTCCTTCTTCTTCTCTCTATCTTCTTCCCCTCCTCCTCTATCTTCTTCTTCTTCTTCTTCTTCTTTCATCTTCTTCTTGTTTTTCC